AGCTCAGGCCCCTGGGGAGTAGCCGGCTGTTGGTTATTAAAGGAAATAAAATGATAGGTCACAGAAATAAGTCATTTCACCACTGCTTTCTCGAATCCAGTTCTAGCAGGGCAGAGGAAGCTGGCACCGTGTCACACAAAGAGCTGTCACCCCCTTCAGATAAAATGAGAGAGGACAGAACCTGGGAGGGAAACAGCATTGTCTTTCCACCCACCCCCAGCTCCGGAATTCATTACCCAAACAAAAACATTCTGCTCAGACCTTGAGTGCTGTTTCAGTTTTTATTTTTACTATGAGTTTATGATTTATTTTGACATATATAATAAAAGTCAAGAGGAATAATAACAATAAAGTTGGTCTTCCTTGGCCTCCAGAGAGAGAGTCTCGCTGTCCTCTTGGTTGTCTCTGGAAATTTCTTGCCTGCTTTCTTTACTCGCCCCATTTTCTGTACCAGCCAGAAATGATCAGACCCTTTCTGTCTTTGTCTTTGACTCAATTCTTGTTGCCTGAAAACCTCTCTTGATGATCTACCCACTGCCAAGCCTTCAGTCACTGAAGAAAAGAAAAACAGAAAATTGTGAAATGCAAGAAAAACGAATCGATGCATGATCCGTCCAACAAGAACTTCTTAGCCTTTTGACAGTCTGATGAAATCTCCTCAAAGATTATTTGCAAATGCAAAAGTTAGAATATAAAAGATTGTGAAGGAAATCCATAATGTTAAAATAAAGTTACCAGAATATATATATATATATATATATATATATATATATATATATATGTAATTGGTTGTTACAGGGTCTTTCTACTCAGCTCAGATTCATAGTGATCCTCCTGTTTTCAGCCTCCCAAGCGCTGGGATTACAGGCATGAGCCACCACAGCTGTGCCATCCCTGGGGGTGGGACTGGTGCTGCATGTGGTGCTGGGGATCAAACCACGGTCCTTGCACTTGCCTAAGCAGGCTCTTTAGTCCACTGAGTTATCTCGCTGGCCCTAGAATATTTTTCTTAAAAACAAATCCATGATATGAAAGTATATATCTGGCACTACATCTTCATGAAATATAAAGTCTGATTGCTACCCCAGTTTTAAAGCAGTGATGAAGGTTTGAAGATGTTGACATAACTGTTCCACTATATGCAAATTCTTCTCATTTATAGAATGTAAAGCATCGCTATTCATTTATATGGTCAATACTGTCCTGTACTCACATTTACACTTCAATCTGTTGACTTTAACTGAAAAATTTATGTATCTCTTTCCTTTATCATGTATTTACATGATGTAAGATGTAGAAATCCAGCTTAATAGACACAAGTAATTTCATACGGGGTGGCATGGTGTTGGGTGCCTGAAAGACTGCTGGGGAGGCTGAGGCAGGAGGGTCACGTGTCTAAGGCTGGACTGTTCAACCTAGAGAGATTCTATCTCAAAAGAAAAACTAAAAAGGACTGGGGATGTAGTTCCATGGTGGAACACACCCCAAGGTTCAATCCCCAGAACAACAACAGCAGCAAAATTCATGCATGTAGATTAAATGGATAAAATTACAGGTCGACATCAAATGTGAGACCATCACATATTCATTGTATATCAGTGGGTTTAATAGAAGATGTGTTTAGTCTCCAGTGACCAACTTACCTTGTGTGAATTTTCACCTAATTCTGAATCTACCCAATTCCAAATCTTTCAGCTTTAGAGAAAGGCTTGCCTCTTCTTAAATGTCCTCTGAACTTTTTTCTAGTTGCTTGTTCTTTCAGCCATTCAATTGCTTTGTTTTTACTTTGTCTCTCCCCTCCCACCTCCCCCATTCCTTCTTTTTCTCTCCCTCTTCCTCCTGCTCCTCTTTCTGCACCTCCTCCTCCTCCTCCTCCTCCTCCTCCCTCTTCTTCCCTGTTTTTGGTCTATCTTAAGGTCTCCAGAAGTCAGCTCCGAGGTCCTCTTGCATGGTGTGTCTGTAGAGTGGGAATAGGAACCAATTCTGGGCTTCGTCACATCTTGCTTCCTGCTTTGTAACTTGCTTAGCTTCATACTTCTTTTGATTTTTAAGGACTTCTAATGAAAATGACTTAGTATGTCCTAGTTATGGTTTCATATTTCTATATAGTTCTTTTTCACAGAGTTTGAAGTTATTGGTTGATTTGTTTCTTAAAGCTGGAGATGTGTAAGCCACTGCAGCTTTAAGCCTTCCCTAGGGACTCTGTGCAGAACTGTTGGCTAAGCTACTGTTTTTGCTGGAAATATTCCACCCAAAAATGACAGCCAGGAATCCTGCCATAGCGCTGCAGTCGATGGCCCATCGTACTTGCATAAGATAGTCAGTGCAATGCCAAATCTTGTACCCATTATTAAAACAGAATCTGAGAGCACACATGGCTGGCTGTTCAAATATGCTTGCCATCTGGATACCAACAAAATACGTGGAGTCAAAAGCCACTGGTTTAGAAATAAGTTTGTAGTGTGTAACATCCCACATTCCATTTGTTCTCTCAGATTCCAAATCTAGCTAGTACCCATATATGTCTGTGAGGGCTGCCACAGGCTCATTACAGGGACCAGCTTCAAACTCAAATGTAGGGTTGCATGTCAAGTGGAAAGTTGTCATTTTGACAGGTGTAAAACCATAAACAGTACGAAAATAATAGAACTAGAACTCCAAACTACATCATAAATGGGATGCTGTTTTGGTAATCACTGTTACAACTCTTGCAAAGTGATGACTATGTTTGTTCCCTGCTGTAGGAAGCTCCTCTCTTGTCAACATTTGTCCCAGCTGTGGCCAGCAAAACAGTAGCTTTTGAATTTCATATTATTGTCACCTTATTAACCTTAAGGATACTTACTGGCTGAAGCAGCACAAGGTCCACTGAAGGATGCTATCTTAGCTACTTTTCTCATTGCTAATACAAATACCCAACACTCCAAGTTCATGAAAGAAAGGCTGATTTACAACCTTTTTACAAACCTTGCAGTTCGTGGAGGTTTCAGTCCACAATCGGCTGGCTCCAAGGCAGGGCGGCTTGGCAAAGGGGCCTCACAGAGGAGAGGCAGTTCATGGTGGCACAAGGCAGCAAAAGCCAGGGAAGGAAAAAAGAGGGAAAGAAGGGACAAGCCTCTCTCTATCGCTCTGTTGTATGCAGGCTAACAGTGCCGGGGCAGGTGAAACACTCACACCCGTAACCCCAGCATTGCACCGTGAATCAATCCCAAACTAAGTTCACCCACCTATGAAAAGCCCACCCCCTACAACTGTATGAGGCTTGAGGGGGCATCCAGACCCAAACCTTAACAGGAGGGCACTGATAAAATGTAATGAATGAGGCCAACCTTCGCTTCTGAAAACATAGGCACCTTGTACGTTAAGCTGAATTCTGTGTTGAATAGAAAATTGATCATTGTGTGTGTGTGTGTGTGTGTGTGTGTGTGTGTGTATACATATGTTATATATAATAGATAGGTTGGGCTCCAATTATAGGCTTTTGATTTTTTTAATTTTATGCAAAAAAGCAAAACAATACAAGACAGTTATACTACTAGTGTCCCTTAATTCGTTGAAAAGAAAGGTTTGCACTAATATCACTTGGAGGATTTTTTATGTCCATATCTTAAACTCTGAGTTACTACTTTAAATACAATAATAAGCCATGTATTAACTATTGTTATTCTCCCATTATCTTGTTGGACTTTTGTTATTGTCTTGACCTGGTATGTGTTTCTGGGCATTGAACTCAGGGCCCCACATGTGCGAAGCATGTGCTCTGCCTCTGAGCTACCCTCTCAGCCCTGACTGTGCGTCTAACCCATATGGGACCACAAATGAAACAGACCTCTGTTCCAGAATCACTTACCAGGGATCTTCATAAAAGCCTGGGGTTTTACCATCAAGAAGTATGGGAGAAATTGCAGAAGAAATCCAGAATGTACTAAACTAGAAAAAATGTATTCATTCTTTCATTAAGAAAGTTATGTGTAACGTAACTCAGAAGCGGAAGAAAAAGGGCCAGCCAGAAAGTTCAGCAGACTAAAGCGCCTGCGTAGGCAGACACACGGATGAGATTCGATCCCAGGCGTGCCGTGCAGGCCCAGAGACAGAGTGACTGAGTCTGGGCATAGAGGCACACGCCTGTGATCACAGCGCTTGGGAGGCTGCAAACAGGAGGATCACTACAGGTCCCATCTGTGTAGGAAGACCCTGGAGACCCTGTACTAAACACATAAAATAAAATTTAAAAAAATTAGAAATGGGAGGGAAAAAAAGCAGCCTCAGGTGCAATATGCAGAACAGGCAGTCACAGTGGATATGTTGCCAAGATATTAAGAAAATGAAAAGAAAAAAGATGTACTATGCTATTGCTGATTGCATTTTATTTAGGGCTTCATTATTACTATCGTTTTATACATGGGTTATTGCCTGATTTGAAGAAAGCCTTGCGCCAAGCAGTCTTTATTACTCTCCCCTCGGTATCACTTCACGTCTTAGGGGAGAAGAACAGTGGAAGTGTTAGGCAGTGATGACCACGATCGAATTACAATGTGTGCCCAACACTATACCAGGAATTCGATACGAGCCAACTTTATTTTGTGGTCTCAAGAGGTTTGCAGAAGCAGGAGCACACAAGAATTGCATCCCTTACGGTTGCCTTGCCGCAGGGATGAGCGAGGAATATGTTACTAGAATTACTAGAATAAGATGTTCATGTAGGAAGCTCTGGATTTTTTTTTCAAGGCTAATTTGAAGCTGGAAGTTGGAAGCATGCATTATGATTTTCTGAAAAATAGATGTTAACTATGGAAACACAGCATAAATTCTCAGAACATGGGTTGGCATAAGGGAAGCATAAGAGGGCTTGGGTGGGAAACGTGTAACTGATTAGCAAAGTATATATCCAGAAAGATGAAAGAATGTTTTCCAGATGTGTCTGAATACATATGTAAAGCAGGATTGATGGCTTCCAATTTGACTTGCTTTTATTTGCTTTTTTCAAAATCTTTTCTAAGAATTGCCCTGGTGGAAAATATTCCTGAAGGCCTTAACTATTCAGAAAATGCACCATTCCACTTACCACTTTTCCAAGGCTGGATGAATTTACTCAACATGGCCAAAAAGTCTGTTGACATCGTGTCCTCCCATTGGGACCTCAACCACACCCATCCATCAGCATGTCAGGTAAGCGCCATCCTCTATGTGCGTGATGATTTTACCTATGTGCGTTTTACCCTCGTTAGTATTCTTGTCTTCCACTCCTCGGGCTCAGCTCATTTGTTAAATTCCACCTTCACTCAGAGTACATGCACCTCACCGCGTTTATGTTTATGTGCCATTGTTAAACACACACCACTCAGCTCCTACTAGCACCCCAGGATTTCAAGGGCAAAACCATAGCTTATCTCCTTACCCATGATAGACTGTCTATACAGCATCCCTGGGCAGCAGGACTTTGGGGGCACCGTTCACACCATAGCACCTGTCAACAGCAAGGCCACAGTTTGCTTTGCACAGCCGGCACGTGTGCAGTTCTGAGTCTATAAACTGTTTGCTGCGACATGGATGTGGTCAGTTTGTGTTATGATTCACCTTGACACCCAGGGCCAAAGGTGAATCGTAGAGTCAGACTTCCTGGGGTAGCTTGATCATTGACTCTGTCACATTTGGGTGAGGAGGAGAAAGAAATGTGCCCATAACAGATGACACCCTTTAGAAAACTACCTGATCTAAGTGATTTCTGAATTACGTCTTTTGGGTGTAAGAAAATGATCCTGTTTGTTTTAATGTGTTTTTCTTTACATTAGTGCAACCATCATAGTCTGCACTGAGTTATCCTATTCAATCACGTCACCACTGGCCTCTGTAAATGTCCTCTACGGAGCAAGGGTAAAATCCCTTTTGTCTCTGTGTGCAGTTCAAGGCCTCCATGTCCTTTTCTCTTCGGGCCACCAAGTTTTACTCCCCCCCACACACACACACCACCAAAAGATGCCACTACTAGTTGAAAGCCCATTTGATTTACATTTTTACCTGATTTTACCTCCCTGATGGAAAGGGCTTACTCCACTAACCACAGTTTGGGTGGCAGAGATCGGGACACACACAGACGTACAAGAGAAAAGTTCATTCCCTTGCTACCCACGTGAGCCTAATGTACATTGTCTGTGAGATGTTCTGATTTTTTTTTTTCACAAATGAACGGTAACAAACATTTGCTCCGATTTGCAGGTTTTCTAATTTTGTAAATTTGTGTTAGCGCACCCTTGCAGTGCATCATCATTACCTTCACCCACCGGGCATTGACACGTGCGCGTGACACACCTTAACGCTTTTCACTCGGGTTCACAATTGATTCTCTCTCTTTATATGTATAATAAACATATCTGTATGTAGAAATATTTCTTTTCTCAAAGAAAATGTCTTTTACTTGGGTAGAATAGTCAAGCTTGGCACTTACCTGCAAAGTCGTGAATCTAAATGGCACATAGATTAACAGGGACCGTCACCCAAAGCGGCCCATCTATTTATTACAATGTGGCAGTAAGCAAAATGCACCAGGAAGCTGTGTAGCTGGTGGCAGATGGGCTCAGCTCAGCAGAAAACAGACACAAACAAATATGGCACCCGCTATCTGGCTTCTCAGAATAAGCAGCAATTTCACAGGGCTGTGATGGCTGTCATTACGAGAAATGATGAATGCCTGAGCTTTCCTTTTATTTGCATGGAAACAGGCACATTGATTAAATTGCCTTTTTTTTTTTATCTGTGTCTCCAAAGGATTGCTGTTTTGATTCCCAGCTGAAAACCCCCCTTTGTTTCTGCAGCATCCTTGAGCGCCGCTAATCTCGCTGTGTCTGCTTCCTCCTGCGCTAACACACAGCACGGCGCCCACGCACCGTACCGCAGCCACGCGCAGGCCTGCCGGGGTCTGCAGTTCCATGCTAACCATATTTTACAGCCTAATGAAAATGTATGGTCAGGCAACAGCTTTTGGTTTCTTTCTGTCAGGATAATGAATTTAGCCAATAAGATATTGAAATTTGTAAGACATTTGGCTTGCTAATTTGTGGGATAGAGTGATAGGTATTTATTAAATCAGCTATTCAAAAAGAGACAGTATGACTGTTGAAATTTTATAAGGAAAACTACCTCATTTCTTTAGGCAAAAATAAACCCCATTCTTTATAAGTTCACTGTATGAAGCCAAATAAGATAATTAATGAGCTATAGCAACTGAATCTTGAAGAGATATATTTATGTGAAATCAATTAGATACCAGCCTCCCCGTGAGACATGATTGCCAATTGATGATATATCACAGTTGTTTGATTTTGAAAGATTATGATTTTTTAAAATGAACAAGATTTTTCAAGTTCATTAGGACCATTATGAAAGCTCAGAGATTGAGGAGGTAGATTTGTTTTTTGTTTTTTGTTTGTTTCTTTTTGTTTGTTTGTTTGTTTGTTTGGTTGGTTGGTTGGTTGGTTTTTTAGGTGGCAAAATCAGGCTTTATTTTGGAAAAAGAAAATTGAATTGGTTTTTGGTGAAGGGCACAGGCAAGAAGGGGTACCCCAGGCAGTAAAGTCCCCCCAAGGGTAGACTGAGGGCTAAGCTGAGCCTCAGGTGGGTCTCTTGCTCCCAGTGCTCCTTTGTACAGCTGTCTCCCTACAGGCTCTGGGGCAGCCACAGGAGAGGTGCAGGCTGGGAGAGGCTGCTGTGGCCCATTTACTTGGGCAGGACGTCAGAGGTCTCAGACACCAGCTTCCCATCATGGGTCTCAATCTTCTTCACAACCACAGCAGGCTTGGTGCGGGTGCAGCCAGTGCTCTGGAGGCTCCCAAAGCCAAGGCTTGTGAGGCCCCATAGGGTGAGCTCACCATTCCTGAACTGCCACTGGTGGTCTTCATGTGGATGCTCAAGTTCTGCATCCCAGCCGAGGAGGTGGATTTGGAAAGTAGGAGTTGGGGTCCTCTCTCTGCACAGTAAGTGGCCAGCAGATCTTAGATGGTAGACCTGAACTAGAATAGTCATTTCAATTTCTTTTGTCTCTTTATCAGCTGGGTGACCTTGAACAAGCTGCTGACCACTGAGTACCTCAATTTCTTCATCATCAAAATGAGGGACCTAGGTTGCTGTGTAAATTAAATTACCTGATACGTGTCAATATTGTATAGAAATGACCGTTTTGGTGTTTGAGTATTGTTGTCATTCGCAGTCACTTGTCCATGTACACATTGCAGCTATTTCAGTAGCTGTTTCCATTAGGGACTCTGCACTGTGCTTGTCCCTGCAGTGACATCCTACTTCCCTATGACTGAGACCCAATACCCAGCACCACAAGCTTAAAGAAGAGAGGTGCACTGGGCTCAGGGTCACAGTCTGTGGTCAGCCAGCTCCAAGGCAGAAAAGGCACAGAGAGAGGGCCTGGGTGGAGAAGAACTGCACACATCATGGTGCCAGGAAGCAGGGTGACAAGGGAGGAAAACACCAGGGAGGGAGTTCTAGCTGCCCCTGCAGGCCTGCCCCCAGAGACCCCCTCTGCCTACCAGCCCCACACTCCTAACAGCAGGTCAGCTGTAGCACCCTCTGGAAAAGCCCCACCTCTCAGAGCAGAGGCCGTGGGGAACATTCTAAAGCTAGACCATAGCAGGTGGTTACCACGTACAATTAAAAGGCAACTGGAATTTCTTCAACAATGAGACTCAGGACAGATAAGGGGAGTTGGGCAAATTCGTGCTATATGTGGAATTCTGGCTTTGATTTGAGGTATTAGTTACTTTTTTTTCGTTTTTCAGAATATACTTATTGAGGGAAAGAAAGCTCCTGTCCAAGAGAGGGACAGGAGGGGGGCCCGAGCGGGTAGTTCCCTGGGAAGCTGTATGTTCTTTTGTTCTTAAAGCCTGTATTTAGAAGTGTCTCCTCTGTCCTTAGTGAGGTGGGGACCTTCTTCAGCTTTAGTAAATATCTGCAAGGGCTGGTCCCCTCACCTCCACCCCAAAAGCCCTACACTTAAGAATATTTCAAGCTTCAAAATGCCTTTTTACCTCTCCATTCGTTGATTGATCACCACCTGGAGAAGTTGTTATCCGCTAAGATTTTGATATATTTTATCTTCGAACAGTGTCATTCAATAAAAAATAACCTGCAGCCACAGTCTATACTTGCTGAGATTAATAGCAGAACAGGACATATACGTATATCCCTGTGGACAGCCAGCATCGTGAAGTGAACACATAGAAGATAATGTGGTCCCCGTCCTGAAGTCATTCCTGATATTTGTTGGCTGATTGCTTGGTTGGGGTTTTGTGCTTCATTGTTTTCGTTTGAAATTGAAGAGCTGTATGGTCCCTCAACATTCAGGGCTCTTCTTTTGCTCTTTGCAACATCCCCTTGCCACAGTGCACAGGCGTCTGCAGCCACCCGTGGCTGGGCTCTCCAGGTGCTGCCCGGAGCCCACAGGTGCCTTCCTTGCAGCCTTCTTCTTAACTTCTGTCGGCGTAGCTCACCCAGTAGCCGTGGGCTTTTGTCTCATCCAACTCACCCAACCTTGCTTGCCACAACTGTGACATTTTTTCATAGATGACGTTGTGAACACTTCCCATTACATCACTTCAGGGCGGAGCCTATGATGCTTCCCGCCTGTCCTGTCTGTAGTCCAGCACCTCTCATTCTCCATCTTCAGTGCCTCTGGGGGAGCCCTCTCCCCTTCCTTGTCCATCCCCTCTGGCCTAGGTGCGTGGGTCTCCATCCCTCTTCACGTCTTCAAGCAAACTCCTCATTCCCCCATCTTGCAAGCAGTCAGCATCTAATTTGCAACCATGTAGTGGTGTTTCTGGAATCCAGAAGAGTTCTGTTTTTGTTGGAATCTGTATGTTCATTATCTTTTAGATTTTTAAACTTTTTTGATGAAAACATACTATTTGTACATATTACAAGGCACAAAGAGGTGCTGGGTAGTGATCAATTCAGAGCAATTAGTGCAGCCATTTCCACTGCCCTTTCTTCATAGTGAGTACAGACAAATTCTTCTAACTCCATTGAGAAGTGCGATGTACTGTTAATTATACTCACCCTGCTGGGCCATAAGACACCAGGATTTATTCCTCCCCTCAAACAATATTAATACCCACTAGTCAAGCTCTCTTCCTTACCTACCTACCTGTTCTCTTCAGCCTGTGGTA